ACGAGCAGTTGCTAGCTGAGAAGATCTATAAGATTCAGAAGGAATTGGAAGAAAAACGAAGGACCAGGCTGCAGAAGCAAAGCATGATACCAAATGCACCGGGCATGCCCCAGGCTCCCATGAATCAAGGGCCCAACATGGGACAGCCCCAACCAGGGATGTCTGCAAGTAAGCACAGTTGGGTTACTTACTGCCTGGGGTAGGGTAATCCTGTGCTGTCAGGATGATGACCATTTTTCTCTTCTCATTTCCCAGGTGCCTTTGTAAAATTACAATCTGCCAAAAGTTAAACAGAGCTCATTTTTTCTAAATTCCTCTGTCTCCTTTTTGGTTTGCTGAGCTGTTTTAGCCCTGTTCCCTTTTCAAAAGACAGTCTCTTGAAAATGTGATCAAGGGTTACAAGTCTATAAATACTTTTTTCCTCGGAATGGCTGCTTTCCCCAGTGCTGATAACAGGAATGAAGCCTACGTGATGGTTGTTTTTTTTCTTAGCAAATCTGCATAGGAAGTGAGAAAAAAATACATTACGAAAACTAGGTACGGCTTAGCACTGCACTCAAGAACAGGAAAGCTTGCCTGGTGGCCAGAATAGCTGCTACTTCTTGGTGCTGGGAGTCAGTCTCGGCCCGTGAACTGTCAGGAGTATTAGTTCTCCATCATCTGTCATTTCAAAGAGCCCCTAAGAGAGGAGACTCTGGAGGGGCAGTGGGTGAATTTATAAAGGCTGGAGACCTGGAGTGCAACCTACTGTGACAGCCACAGTAGCAAAGCATAAAGAGCCCGTGTCCCAGAGCTCCTGCAGGTAGTTGTGGTGCTTGGGGACAGAGCTGGTGCCGAGGTACAGAAAGCTACTCCAACTTTACAGCTTTGAGCTGAGCACCTGTGTCCCGCTCCAAGAAAGCAGTCTGGCCTCTGCCCTGCAGGAATAATCTCTCCCATTTTATCATGTACTCCTTTTGTGCTTTGGACCCCACAGCAGCCAAAATTTTATAATGGTCTGTCTAAAACTTCCACTCCATCTAGATGGCATCAAAACAGAGAACAGGTGAAGGGCAGCAGTAGGGAAGAAGACAGAGAAATGGAAGTCAGGTCCAAGTCAGATCTGAGTGTTAGTTTCTTGAGATTTTCTTGAGGGTACTGTTGTATCCATAAAGAAAGGTGCTGGCTTTACAAATACACAGTGTTGATAAGACAGTGAGATGCAAAACCAGACCTCCTGGTAGCACCACACATTAGGGAGAGCGGTCTTGTACCATCTGACTTTGCAGACATCTTTCCATTATATGACAGTACCGCACCACTGGGAGGGCCTTGGAGCGGTGGAGAAAGGTGAGGACGGAGGTGTCAAACTTCTCAGAGATGGGGAGATTAGGACAGAATTGCTGGATGGGTGGCAACTGCCAGCAAGAAACATTACAATTAATGTTACATAAGAAAGTTTTTCTCATTGAAGAAAATATATTCCTAATTCAATTTTCATTTTATTAAAATGCAATTATTTAAATAATTTTATTTATTGAAAAGGTTTATTAGAAACAACAACATATGAACAGCCATGAGGTGGGGATTGCTCGAGGCTACGCTGTGTTAACACAAAACTGATCCTTGCTTAAGCTTTCAAGAAGCCTTGAGCCAGCCTGTCTGTGACCTAAGGGAACAGTCCTTTTTCAGCTCTGGGAAGCAGGGGATATGTATTAGCAATAGCACATAATAAGTTGCATGAAAGATGATTGCAATAGAAAGATTTAATGAACCTTTAATTTGGTATCTGTGTCTTATCTGGAAACATCTTTTTTGCCTGTCATGCAGTGTACTGTCTGTAGCAGTATTTGCAAGAGAATAGCATTCTTTATAATTTACTTCCATATCAACTGTATTGTTTAAGTATTTTAAAAGCAATATTGTGTTTCTTAACAGCTCTGGAGGACTGTTTGAGAGACATGAACCTGAAGGATCACTGATGCTAGTGATATCTGCCAATCAAGTTGCATGCAGCAGGATTTGAGAGGTCACTGACACCCTCAATCTGTAATTAGGATATTGCCCCAATGACTACCCAGAATACGCTGTGTGGTTAGCACTGATAATGACTCTCCTTTGCAATTAGAATGGCAGGCCGTAGCCTCATTTTAGAGTCTTTGGATTGTCTGAAACAGCAATCCATATAGTTTTATAACATACATAAGACTTTGAACTAAGCTTTTTCTTGCTACTTGACTTTAGGCTGCAACTAACACTTTACTCTATATGTGCAAGACGGGAACTGTGCATTTATTTACTTACTTTTTACAGTGTGAACAGAATGAAGGTGATATAAAAAAAATAGAATGAGAAGTAGAACAAACTCCAGGGAACATACCTTCTTCATAAAAGAGAATCATTGCCAGAAACATACTGAGAGACACTTGCTTCTTGGCTGTTCTTGACAGTGAGCTGGGATGAGGGATGTTGCTAGGAACAAGGCTAAGATCACAGTAGTTTCCTGGAGGGGGAAGCCAAGAGGGACAGAAGCCATTGCACTATAAAGAAGCTATGATATAAACGCATACAAATGTTAAAACCAATTGCAGAGCACAGTAAGCACTTCAAGAGCCCTGTTGCATAGGGAATGCTTTCTTTCCTAAATAAAATATCTATTTATGTATGAAATCTCTGAAATTGATCATTTGAGGACATGGGGAGCAGCTTAATTAACACATGTAGATCATTTACCCTGTGGTGCTTTAACACAACAGCTTTGGCATTGCTCTGGACTTCCGTTTCCTAATGCAGATGTGGGCAGCACCGCAGGGTGATTAAACATGCGGATCTACCAAAGGGAAGAAAACGATGCAAGCCCAGCTGCCTGCTAAGAAGAGCTAATAGTGTTTTATGAAGTGTCAAAGAAGGCATAACCTGTGCAACTCAAGTGCCATCCACCCTTGGCTCACTGGGATCCCCTGACGATTTCCCAGTCTGAGTGACATGCTGATTGTGGCCCTGTGGACAGGGACAAAGGAGTTGCTAATGTGACATTCAGTACGTGCTACGGCAAAGGCTCCGCATGTGCCTACAGAGGAAACATGCAAGAGCGGGACAGTGGAGGGGCTTGTGGATGCTGGAACCCCTTTAATCAGCTGCTGAGCAGGCCCTGGGGAGGCAGCCAGGCTGTGCTCGGCAGTGCACACCGCTCAGGGACAGGCCTCAGGCATGCTGCGCTGAGGACTGTGCAGCAAGATGCACTGCGTGGGCCAAGGAACCAGCTGCTCCTCCTAAGGGGGATAGCATGTTGCATTCGTTTTCAGGGCTTGGTTGAGGATTGTTTATTTTTACCACAGGAAGGGTCAGTTTAAATGTAAATCACAGACACTCTGCCCGAGGGATGTGGAGTGCTATAAGCAGTGACCTCAGAAAATTGTTTCTTCGCTTCTGGTACTTTTATACAAGTCTAGCATAGTTGCAGCTTCAAACTCGAGAAAATATGTAAAGACTAAAGCACAGACAGACCAAAACTCCCAACTGAATTTGCACTTGTAACTCTCCCCTTTTCCCCAACTTGTGGAAGGTATTTTGGGAAGTCGGCTACATGACGAGAGACATGAAGACACGGCTGCAAGAACTGCTTGGATGTAACTGTGTGTCAGAAGGCAATGTGAAACGCGCCTGGGTCACGTGGATTTGGGGAAGTGTCTGGTTGAGCGGATGTGGGGTTGAGGCTAGGTTTTGTATCAGCAAAAATGCCGGTACAAACAGGCTGACCGCATCTGGCTGTCGGGCATGATAAGTAACTAATGTTAGCAACCTATAAGGAGCTTGGCTGTTGCAATATGTATGAGCTAATTAACTCTATTATATAAGTCATGAAAATGTGCAAATAAACTGAGGCTTGTGATCATCATCGGATGAGCATGTCTCCCGTTGCTTCCGACACCAACTCACCAATGATTGAAAAAGGATGATGGTATCCATCTTTCTGATTCTTCCTTTCTCCTCCTGCCATTGATCCATACAATCTTGTTTTTTCTCTCATTTCCTTTCTCTCACTCCCATCCCTCTGCTAGTCTACCAGAAAATTTGTGACAATTTTAAACTTGGACCCGATCTAACATTTAGCTCTTTCCCATCCTGCCTTGTGCTGTGCAGCTCCATTCCTCCCGTAGGTAAACAAACCCTTGCCCAGTTATCAAGATTTCTAAGAAATCTTGTGCATCCTCAGTTGTGTTTAAGGCACTGCACTCTAGCTGTCCATCTGCACAGATATGCCCTGCTGCTAGAGCTCACTTGTGTTTCAAGAATGCTACATTTGCATCCACATTATGGTGGTTACTGGGCATTAAACGTCTGTAGGGCTGAAGTTCTGGGTTTTATGGGGTTTGTGGATTGGGGGTTTTCCTTTTTTGGCAAAAGCTTCCAGGACTGGCTGACAGTGACACACATGCATTGTGATTTTGCACGAAAACACATTCAGCTTGCTGCATGACCTCATCCAGACAGACTATACAATATAACCAAGTCAATACACTATGTAATTTAGTCACATAAATCTATCACTGATTTGAGATGCCGCAAGCAGGAGGCAAGGGAATGAATTAGCAGTACCAAGAGCATAGCGGGCCAGTGGGGGAACTACAGCGAGCCACCAGGCCTGCCATCCTCCGTTCCGTACATACGTTAAATACCTTAATTTCCTTCACCTAAATAGACCTTCTAACAATTAAAAGAATGATCCAAGTCAACTTGGCACAAGCCCTTGAGGTGCTAGTGACTTCCCAGTACTTCAGCTGCCTTCATTTAATCTTCAGCTAAATGTCATGGCGGTAGCTCCCTGTGCCACGAGCACAAACCTCCATCAGAGTCTCTCCTGGAGACTCAATTTTTCATTCACGTATTCTGTAAAATTGGTAGATCAATGAGTACATATGAGAAAAGGCTTCTGCATTCATTTCCAGTTATTCTGCGTGACTGCTAGGCAAGGACTGATACTGTCTGTTCTGTTCTGTAACTGTACCACTGTCATCGGCTCTGGGATTCTGCCTCTATCCTTGCTTTAGCACAGGACAAGTAGCAGAAATATACTTTTCAGTCGCTGCGTTCACTGACGCAGCGCTCCTGCCTTTGTGGGAGCAAAGACCTTATGTGAGGCAAGATCTGCGCAGCCACAGCCTGACGTGCCGCGTTCTCTAATCCAGAGACTTCCGTAAAGAAAACGCGGGCAAAATTTAAAAAGCGCCTTCAGGATCGGAGAGAGCTATTCCGCAACTAGGGGAACGGATGAAAAAAAGATTTCTTTAAAGGCTGTGCCTTCTTTTTGTGGGTCGTATAGTTCGCACGTACGCAAGCGTCCGCCGGTTGTCTGAGGGGGTGTCGTGCGACTGTCTGACCCTGGCTACCGAGCCAGCCAGCTCCGAAAGCCACTTCAGGGATCCCTTTGGAGGGTGCAGGCGCCCCGCTGGCTCCAAAGCCTCTTCCCAGCGTGCCTGGCTGAAGTGGCCTCCTTCAGGGGCACTTTGAGAAATATTTACTTGCTTGCTTCAGTTGCTGTGGCACCTCTGCCGGGCGCGGTGGGCAACCACGGATCGGTGGAAAATTAGGTTAAATACAACTTACAGGGATTAAGTAACAGTAGTCTCACCCTCTCCCCGTCGGCTCTCCCCAGATCTCCTTGTGGCCTAGACCTAACCTAATTCTTGTTAAAACACACCC